CTCACCCAAAGCACAACAGCCAGCTTACTCTGCCCATACCTCGCAAACGGACCCATGCTCTCCCCATTCGTCTTGAAAGTCTCGAACTGCAGTCCCCCAGCCGGCGCATACCGCTGTCCATGCGACGCCACAGCCACAATCCTCACACGACCGCCTACACCAGCGTCATCCCGCTTCGCTGTCCTCTCCATAATGGGCAATAACAGCCTCGTGAGCAGCGCATGGCCCATGAAGTTCGTTCCGAATTGCACTTCGTATCGTCCGTCCGACGTCATTCCCGGTGGTGCGGCCATGACGCCGGCGTTGAGCATGAGGATGTCGAGGCGGGTGGCGGTGGAGAGGAATACCGATGCGGCTTGCTTAACGGAGGAGAAGGAGGAGAGGTCGAGTTCTAGGAGGTGGATGCGAGCTGTGGGGACTTGTTGTTTGATTGAGTCTGCAGCGGATTGTGCTTTGGTGAGGTTGCGCGCGGCGAGCCAGATTTGGGATGGGTTGTGCCGGGAGAATTCGAGCACGGAGGCTTTGCCCAGACCGCTGTTGGCGCCGGTGATGAGGATGGTTTTGCCGGTTAGGTCGGGGATGTCTTTGGTGGGGTGGAAGGGCATGTTGTAGTAATTGTGGCAGTGGTGGTATTGGGGAGATGACAGCTTATGGAGGGTGAAGAGGATTTGGAGATTGAGAATGGTAAGAAGATGATTGGGATTATCATTGAAGATAAAGCCATGACATGGCTTCTCCTTATATATGGGAAGGATGTACGAAGGGTTTTGGATATATGTGAATCGGAGTAGGAGCTATGACACTCCGCTCCGATGGACCGGACCATGCCTCAAATTCCTCCGTTTGCAAATGGATGGGGGACTGCTTGTTGGTAAGCACCGAAAAATCTCGTATTTCTACAGTTACCTGCTGCAGAAAATCACCAACTCCACATATTGCGGAATTCACTAGAGAACAAGTCCAGATCATCCAAAGTCGGCTCCCAAGAGTCCTCCATCATTGGCATCACCGCCGTATCCCACGACATCTTCATAGCCTCCATTTTCGCTGCCATGATCATGAAGAAGTCAAGTTCTTGAGTACCTTCTGGATCCAGTCCAGCTGCTTCTTTGACCTGCGTGAACCGCTGTGCCGCCGTCTCCAGTACCCATGACACATCTATTGTCTCCCGCACCAGCTTGCGGTCCCAGACGGGGTACTCACAGACAGTGAGACGGTAGAGGTTGATGAAACTGCGTGCCATGTTGGCGCACATCAAGCATGAAAGCCCGACATATTCAACGGGTTGCAGGGCTAAAATGGTGTTGGTCCAGGACTTGATAGTCTGGAGACAAGCACAGAGACATTCGAATTGCTTGTTCGATTGCTGGGAAAAGATGCTTGGGTCTGACGAGAAGCCGATCTCGTAGATCATCATTTCTGCGCTGTATAGCTCCATTTGCAGGATCTCTGTGTGCCGTTAGCTGGGTAATCGATGGGGGTTAGGAGCTTACTGTTGTCAGTGAGTTCAGGAGGTATTTGTGATCGGAATTCGCGAATCTGCTTCTGAAATGACTGCAAATATATTGGAGCCGATGGCCGCAGGAAGTGAGTGTCGCCCGGCCCCGTCACTGGTGCGTCCATCACCTTTCCTGTGATGAGACGTAGTTTGACAAGCTGCACCAGCAGGGTATCATTGGTTGATTCCTTTTGCTCTTCGAATACACGAAGACAGTCGTCAAATGAGGGCGTCCACTGAAGTGGCTCACCGTTTCGGGACACATTCGACCTTGGAATGTTAGACAGCATCTATACTCAAGTGGAGTTTACCAACGTGAAGCTAACAAGAAAGCACCCCAGCAAAGCCCTGCGTTCCTGCATGGTAGGCAGCCGAGAGTAGTGGAACGGCCGATTGTGCCCCTTCAAATCATAGCTAAGCAAAAGACTCGGGTCCTGCGCCGGTGGTTTGTCCAAGCCTAGGTCGTATACAATTGCGATAGCCAACTGCATCAAACTAGTGAAAAGCGGCTTATCAAGGGCGTAGTAACGATCCCAGGTAGCGTATACCAGAACCGCCAACAGAAAGTCTATACTCCTTGTGCCTTCTACAAACGCCTCGCGACCAAATATCTCTCTCATCTGCCTGGACATGGCTTTCTGCTGCGTTGTCCGCGTAGATGCCACAGTCATTACCGCTAGCCACAGCAGCGGACTCCCCTGACGCAGCTGATGGGCAGTTTGAGAGACTGGGATATCAAGAAAGGGCAGATGGCCGATAAAATCGGAGCGGAACCTAGCCAAGTACACCTCGGCGTCATCACCGTTAGGCTCGTGAGAAGCTGTTCGAGGCTGCTCGAAAGGAGCAGCTGGACTACATGTTGCGCCTGATATACTCTGCGGTAGAGATACAGACAGCGATACGGCTTCGTCCGTATGAGGTGCTGGAACTGCATGCTCCTGGGCCGACGGGTTCGATCCGTTCAGCAGGCCCGTCTGGCCCTGGAGGATACTGTACAATCCATCCAGCTTCTCCTCAAGCTTCTGGACATCTTTTGCAGAGGCTTTGGCCACAACACGACGCTTACGCACGGGAGGCGATGACTGGCAGGTCTTCCGGAGGCGTACGCATCTACCAGACTATCAGCATGGCCAGGACATCAATGAGAGCGGACTAACCGTTCACATGTCCCGGAGGCCCCACTAAGGGCACATCTCGTCTTTGCTCGGACACAGTTTGTACAAGCCCGTACTGTCGGCATTTTGACTCGAGTTACACGGTTACACAGGCATGGTACTCGCCAGACAAGATAAACTACTGCTGGCATGCTCTCATGGGGGCTGAACGGAGCGGAGCCTGCGAGACTCCGGCTCCGATGTTTGTATTTGTGGATGTCTTACGTTGCACTGTGCTGTTGGTTGATTTGAAATAAGATCTCTCCATGGCTATTCAACCTCTCAACGCATTGACTGAGTAAAGAACGATAGAGTGGCACTCCATAACCACTGTTGGGAGCCTTGCGATTCTCGTCGGTCCGATGCAGATTAGGAAGTAGAGATAGAGATAGAGATAAGGTGTGGATAACTATTAATGCTCCGCACAAGCCAAGCTGACTCACCAGCACATCACATGCTCCGCACTAGTTAACTATTATCAACATCAACTGACCGTAATCAACTCCCTGATCTTATTCCACCTCTACACCTATCTACACCTCAGACCCTCCGGTCATGGACACGGTCTACCGAGGGAGACATGGCTGAACCCTCTAGGAAGCGTTCCCGTGTTGCCTGCACACTATGCCAATCGCGCAAGCGCAAATGCTCCGGCGACCAGCCATGCACAACATGCGCCCAGTTCGGCTCCGACTGCCACTATGACCTCCAATCGCGCAGAAAGCGCGATGCCAGACTATTCCAGCTGCAGTCCGCCGCACCGGCAGACTCTGCAGCAGCCCCTGATGCAGCGCATCCTCCGCGCCACGAGCCCAAGATCTCCCCAGAGGAGACAGCAGCCCGGCTCAGCTCGCTAGATGCCAACTCCGGCGCAGCATTCGCCAGGCGCCTCGGCCTCAAGGTGGATCCCACCAATGCGCCCAAGATGCATCTATTCGCATGGAACGTGGGCGCGCGCCATCTCCCACTTCCATCAATGCCACCACCATCCGCCCCCAAAGTAGTCCCCATCGTGGACACCATCTCGCAGGACGAGATGCGCTCCCTGGTAGCCATCTTCTTCGACAAAGTCGACCCATGCTACCCATTCATCGACCGCGACACCCTCCTCCGCCAAGTCAGTCGCCGCTGGCTCCCACCTACCGCCGACTCGGCCCTCCTTTACGGGCCCTACGACGCCGTCCTCGCCGGCGTCGCAGCCTTCGGCTACCTTTTCTCCCGGAGACAATCCAGCGCAACAGAGCTCCAACTCGCGGAGACAGCCCGGCTCATCCTCGACCAAAACATGCTATCAGACACGACCCCCACCCTCGACACCGTAACAGCATGGGTCCTCCGCGTCTCCTACCTCCGCCTAACCTCGACCCCGAACCTCGCCTGGACAGCCAGCTGCACCCTAATGCACCTCATCGAAGCAACAGGCCTGCACCTCGAGCAACCCTCCTCCGACGCCATTAACCAACTTCCCACCCCAGTCGACCCCGACCTCCGCCGCCGCCTCTTCGGCATGGCCCGCCATCTCAACGTCTGGATCTCGTTCGAGCTCGCCCGCTCCCGCGTCGTCCTCCACGGCGCAACATCCCTGCCTCCGACGCCGCGCGTCCCGGGCACCCCAGAAATCTTCACCCTCTTACCCATGTCCGAAAGCCTCGACCCAAACACAAACAAAACCACCGACCCTCCAGACCTCGAATCTGCCCTCCGCAACGTCCTCGACCAAACCCATGTCTTACCCCAGTTGATTCTCGTGCAATGTAACCTCATGCTCTGCATCTACCGGCGTTTGCGCGCCCTGAACTGTATTATCTCCGGGGACCTGCTTGACCGCGTGCTGGCTCTCTCCGTGAAAGGTCTGCAGGCAGCGAGAGAGATGGTCGCGACGACCTGTCCGTGGCATCAGATCGCGAACGTGCCATTTCAGGTGGTGTGCACGCTCTTGGCGATAGATAATCGGGCGTCGTTGGTCATGTTGGGGGGTGCGATGCGCACGCTGCGCGAGGTGGCGGCCGCGTATGATACGGAGGTGATGCGCGAGGCGTATAGTACGGCGTATCTGCTGATTTTGTTGCATCAGCGCAGGAAGGAGGAGGATACGAAGGCGTTGAAGGATGTGCTCAGGGTCAATTCGGGGGCGGGGGCGGACCAGATTGAAATGGGGCTGGGGGGTACGCCTGCGACTGATGCTGGTGGTGGTGATTCTACGGAGCCGCATCATTCGTTGGCTGACTATCCGGGATTCTCGTGGTTGAGTGATCTGCTAATTGATATTCCTAGTTTGGGCAGCTTTGATATGGAGCGGTTTATGTACACTGATGTATAGCGGCGGCAGATTGGTGCCTAAACACATTGCCGAGGTTGGAATGTGTGGGAGGGATGATTACTGCGACTTCTTCTCCTTGTCGATCTTCTTCTGTCCGGAAGACCGCGCCACACTACCCAGCTTCCACAATACCCACAGCAAGCCTAGAACAATCGCTGCCATCGTGCCCAGCTCCACCGTCTTGCTGCTGAAGAACCCTCCCTCTTCTAACCGGAGCACCGGCACATCCAACTCTTCAACGTGCCGGGCCTTTTCTCCACTAGGATGCACCTGGTAGAACATCGTCCGGGGGCCGAACATACCATCCCAACCTAGGTTCACCCGATCGAACGGGTTCGTGCCCATCTTCGTGCCCTCTTCCGCTGTGCAAGCCCAGAAGACTACCGGCCACGGCACCCCTGCGGAGCGGTACCCAGTCTCCGACGGACGCAGATACCGCAGATGCAGCGGCACCGTGACGTTCCACTCCTCGGGCACCTGGCCTTCAGGAGGCGTAGCCAGCTCAAGCAGCCAATTCGAACCCCAATGCGGGACAAACCAATCCGGGGCCTCCAGGTCCGTTGCTCCGCTTACTGCCCGCAACGCCACTAGATGATGCGAGTCCAGGAACAGCGGATCATCCGTGCTCAGCTGGTACTTGTCGCCGAAGATATACGACGGCAGCGTCAGATACGCATGCAGCGCACAGGTTGTGTCGTCCGGCGCAGCAGGATACTCCAATGCAGCGGGGGACAGAGAAATGGTCATGGTAGGATGCGTGCCCGTCGGACGGGGGAAGGAGACATCGAAAGTCGCCTCGCGAGGGAGGACATGGTGTCTGGAAGGGAAGGAGAACAACGTGGGTTCTAAACCGTCAGCTATCATTCCCTCAACAACACACAAAAACAAAAGGAAGGGGATGGATGCATACTCAACTCCTTATCCACCCCGACAACACCCAACAACCCACCAACCTTAATCTCCTCCGCCTCGACCGCCTTCTCCGTCCCCAACAACCCAACTTCAACCCGATCACGACTCTCCCCCGGCGCACGAATCTCCTCCGTCCATCCCTCCGAAGTACTAGGCTGGCCCCAGTACCCAGAGACCACCAGCGACCGCGACACCGCATCATAGTCCACATCAATGCTATCAGCAGTGCCCCAATCCGCAGCGCACGCAGAACCCTCCCCGCGACAGATATTCTCCACGATGTACTCCCCAAGATTATGTTCCGGCAGGGCAGAATGGAATTGATACGTAGACGTGGAAGCGAATCGCGTAGAGAGAACAGGAGGAGTGGTGAAGGAGTCCTACATATACAGAATCAGCATCACATGTACATACCCCACAAGTAGAAACGAAAGTCAAACACATACCTCATAATTTCTACACTCAATCCCCTTCGTCCCAAACATCCTCCTTAGAAGACGACATACCCCTTCCCCACCCCCCTCTTCATTCCTCTTCAGAGGACTAACTCCCACCCCCACCCCAGCAGGAACCCTACTCCCGAACGGCGCCACAACCACATAGGGATCTTCCCTCGCCCAGCGAATATGTACTTCATGCAAACCGCTTAGAATCCCTCGGACCTGAATTCATGAAACGTCACATATAATTAGCTAATCTATCTTGATTTGATCAAGATAGTAGAAAGAAAGGGCAATATACCTACCTCATCATCAACCACCTCAGCAACATCAACTGTGACACGAACTTCCTTCGCGGCATCCAAATCACTGATTCTTAGGGACGTCGGGGTGAGGCTTGCTTGGGTGGAGGTGAATGGCGAGGAGGGGGGTTGGAGGTAGGTTATTCTTGTTTTCATTTTCAGTATTAGTATTATGGAATTGTGATGATCGGTGAATCAGCTGATTGAGTAGAAGAGTTGAGGAGAGGGAGGGAGGGCTAGTAGATTTAAGAATTGAGATGGATTTGATTTGCTTTGGTTGGATTGCGGAGATGGAGATGGAGTGAGCTGGACTGAGCTGGGGTGAGGTGTGATGTTGGTTGTTGTTGTTGTTGACCGCTATCTTATCGATAAGGCTAGCTAGCTAGGTATTCCTGTTTTGGATGGGAAGGGCATGTGATCAGTGTGATAAGATATACTATTGTAGTTTTGTTCTACTAGAGGAATTGATTATCGGAATCTCCGTTTATGTAGTTATCTGAATACTAGCATACATTAACAATTTATCACACTCATACAAGTATATAAGCTTTTATTCCAAGCTACTACTGCATCATCATCATCACTCATCACATCACGGAACCAGCCGCACGCCCAACGCCATAATGCTAACAGACCAGCGAAATGGGAATAGGAATAAACAGAGGCAATAGGAGTATCAAAGAGGCAAAGAAGAATCACGGGAGAACGTCCTTCAGAATGTCCTTCTGCGACGCGCTCAGGCTAGCTGGGAACCGCACATTCACCCGAACCACCAGATCGCCGCGCTCGCTGGGCTTCTTCGAGATCGTCATGCCCAATCCGGGGAACCGCTCCTCATGGCCAGGCTGTGTCGGGCCGGGCTTGGACACTCGGATGGATTTGCCGTCAATTGTGCGCACGATGCGTTCCCAGCCGGTCAGCGCTTCTTTCAGACTGAGCTCGACTGTTGTAACGAGGTTGTCGCCTTGGCGTTTGAAGTTGGGATGTTCTTTCTGCTGATCGTTAGTATTGACTAAGATATAATGAGTTTAGGGTGGGGATGCCTACCTCAGTCACAATCAGATGTACGTCCTGCCGACCACCCTCCTCTTGATCGCCTACTCCCCGGTACTTAATCTTCGAGCCAGTCCGCAGACCCGGCTTGATATTCGCTTCCAGCGTCACATCCTGCACGGTGCGCTTGCCGCTCGCATCAAATGTCTTGCTCTTGACAGACACCTTCTTGGTCGTACCGCGCATCAGCTCCTCCAGCGTCAGCGGCAGCTCCTTCTCCATGACCGTAGGCTCGGGCGTGGGCGCGCGCTGCGACGATTGCTTGAATCCGCTAGGCCCGCGACTATTCCGGAAGTTCCGACCGCCGCCGAGCCCACCTCCCAGCATCGAGAAGATATCGTCATCATCCATACCGCCGCCCATACCACCACCCATACCGCCCATGCTGCCTTTGGCAAAGTTCCGGAAGATATCGTCTGCATTGCTGAACCGGAACCCGCTGCCGCCGCCGCCGGGACCAGTCGAGAAGTGGAATGTCCGGGTACCGCCACCGCCGCCGCCAGGCATGCCGCCGAACGAGAAGCCGCCGGGCATGCCACCTTCGAAGGGGTTGGGGCCGTCGGCACCACCGCCGCCGCTGGACGGCGGGGGACCGCCACGAAGGAGATATTCGAGGCCGAATTGGTCATAAACTTTTCGTTTTTCAGGGTCGGAAAGAACCTCGTATGCCTGGGACACCTCTGTTGAGAATTAGCACCATTGGCCTAAAACGGGAGGCTGGGGCGGGGTAAATAGAGTCAGAACATACCTTTGAACTTTTCCGAAGCGGTCGGGTTGTCCTTGTTCTTGTCGGGGTGGTACTTCAATGCCGCCTTACGGTAAGCTTTTTTAATCTCGTCCTGCGAGGCATCGGGCCTGATCGAGAGGGCATCGTAGAGTTTCGTTTCTGCAACCATTGTGGAGTCGATTGGCGAGGGCCAGAAGATAGGTCAAAGGAACGGGAATCACGAAATCGACAGACGTGGTAGAAATGTGATGCACGGCTCTAATTGGCGAGTCCAGACACCATATAAGCACACCACGAGGGGGTCACACCACGGGGTGAGATGGGGGAATCGAGGGGAGGGGAGCAGAGTCTCGAATGACGTAGAAGATTCAGCGATCCGCGATCCGATCAGAGTACGGAGTATATCGACGGGAGTCAATGTAGGTTATATAGGGGGTGGTTTCAAGACATAAGGCACAGTGAATGATGTATCTGAAGGATTAGCGGAGAAGCCAGGTGTGAGGACGAGGGCTGATGTATAGTGCAGCGCCGGCGGCTTTCAGGTGAGCCTGCGGTGACGTGTGACGTTGACCGCAGCGGTCGACCAATAGAAGGTTCGAGAAGGTTCGATGGCCGCGAGGGAGGGGTCAACCCGTGATGCCATACGGATTGTTCGGGTGATAGCAGTGGAGGTAAGACTAGAAGGGTCCAGCCGGTGGATATGGAAGTTTGACAGCCAGATGGAGTTATTGAAATGGACTGATGGAAATGAGCTGAGATGGCTTCAATCTTCCATTTCGGGCAGTCAGCCGGCCACTTGCCAGATCGAGCTAGCATCATGTATACTTATGTAGCTTAGTCATCTGTATCTTTATGCAGTGTATACCATCTATATCACAACCAACCACCACACTATCAACATTGCACTTAACATCAGTGTCCCAACGGGGCCTGTGCTAACTGATCACCATCTCCACCGAACGATCCCTGAACCTCAACATCGTCAACAACAACCCAATCCTTGACCACCGCCCCCCCACTCAGCACCCGTTCCTTCTGCTCATCCGTACAAGTCGAATCCATGGCCAACAAATAGCACGTTGGTTCAGGGCTCTGCGGCACCTCATTCTTAATATGCCACGTCGATGACGGTCCCTCCGTCCCATAGTCCTGGTTCTCCACCAAGGAGACTCCTCCCGTCGCAATATCCCAATTAAACTGAGCCCGATTAAAGATCTCATACGCCGTCTCAGGCTGATAGAACGGGACCTCATGGCCCGCCTGAAAGACACGCGTGAATGAGAAGTTCCCATACTGCCTGACCAATCCCCCAACGTAGGATGATTTTGTCTGCACCTCTGCATACCCTGCAGCCCGGAACTTCTCTGCTTCAGCATACTCCACCAGCAAACTGACATCCTCCCCGCCGCGCCACGGACAGGCATAGTCCCGGTCCCCATACACCATAGCCACCTTAACACCAGAGTCAAGCAAGTACCCAATATCCCCGATCATCCCGCGTGGATCATTGCGAGGGTAATCACCTGTCGAGTCGAAGCTGTCCCCCACTGCCTCTGACGACATGGTATAGTTCACCGGGACCCCGAGCGCCTTTTGCACCCACGGGCGATTCAAAAACCCGACGAAGTAGGGCACGAGCGCTGCATCCGGCGTGAAATGCGCTATGTCGTAGTATCCTCTCCCAGAGGTATTCGTGTACAGACTCTTGATCTCCCGTGAGCAATACTCCGACGCCTCCGCGCAGATACCATTCACCGTCTCATTATCCCCATACATGAGAGGATCCCCAAGCTCGCCCGCATCGCGACACTCGACAATCATATCCCGGCACCCACCCGGCTTGCTCCAGTTATCCATAGCCCTATCGTAAAGCGTGCGATTAATCCCCTCAATCCCATACGTATTATTATACGCCATCTCCGGGAACGACGGGACCTGAACGAGTAAATCCACACAGCCATTGATAATCCCCAACGTATCCAAATGGATTTTCTTCCCAATACTCACCTCCCCACTCTCAATCCGCTCATTCATCTCCTGAAATAGCGCCGTATACGCAGGTCCATACCGTCCTCCATACGACTCCGTCCATATACTCACCCTGTCATCACCCTCACCAGCAGCAGCAGCAGCAGCATACTCAACAAACTCCCCCAACCAAACCTGCAACGCAACCCACAACGCCCTCCCCCCATTCACCGTCCCATTCACCGTCCCTCCCACATCCTGACTCGGTAGTGTCCCTACCAGAAACGTCTCATTCTGCCTTACCCCACCCTCTTCCACATCAACATCCACATCAATCTCCCCACTCACCAAATCCACCGTTCCATTCCTCAACAAATCATAACTAAACCCCGTCTGCACCGGCTGCTCCACATACAACATATCAACATACTCATTCCACGACCAGGGATTATCGCTCGTGGAATTCGAGTCCGGATTCACCACGCACGGTCCATTCTCTTGGAACAAACCGATCATGGAGGATCCGCCGGGTCCGCCGTTCATCCAGATAGTGAGTGGCGACGAGCCATTATGGTGGCGGGCGGGAAAGTACCAAAAGAAGGTATTGATAGGGTATGCTTGGGTGATGCTGATACCTGGGATGGAGAGGTTGGTCAGGGTGTGCGGGGGTAGGTGGATGTAGCCGGAGTAGCTGGTGGTATCGGTGTTGGTGCAGATGCCGAGGGGCTGGTACAGTAGTACGTATTAGTATTATTAGTAGGATGTGATGTTAGGATGGGAATTGAAGTTGGGGTAGGGTGTAAGTAGTAGCCCAACCTGTTTATAGGAGATTTTCGCCCCCGGAAAGATTTCGGACTCGATGATGGTGAGGTCTTCCGGTGTGGGAGGGAAATATGATTGTCCTGCGACTAGGGTGGTGATAGTGGAGATGATGATGATGCCGAGGGAGGGCATCATGGTGATCGTCTAAGTAGTATCTATTTCAATCTGTGCAGAACTCTCATGGAGAGTTCATCAATTGCACAGGGAAGAAATAAAAGAGAGGAAAATAATTGAAGGGTCAGGGATTTGAGCGAAGGAAGTAGTATAAATACTAGTAATTAACTGTGCAACCTACTAGTGAAGTAGGTAGTCTACTGCTAGAGGTCTGATAACGCCATCGCCGATAAGCCGGCGGATCGCCGGTTGTCACTGTCTCACTCAGTTGATCGAATGGCCGTGCACTTGCTCCACTCCACTCTCCCGTAGGTATGTATGGGGTAAATGGCAGGCAACTGCCGAGGATATCTACAAAGTATGTTTCACTTTATGATATGCTTCAGCAGGAAATCAGCCTTGGTTCAAGTGGAAAGATCGACATTACTGTATTGGTTCAGAGCGCGCCATGATGTAGGTGGCTCGATGGTGATCGGTCATATACAGATCAGGTTTCGCAGTTCCGATCAAGGTAATGCAGTCTACTCAATGCTATTGCATTACAATAGAAAAGTCTGGAGAAGAGAACATAGGGATATATTGTCAAACTCAAATCGCTTCCAAGCATCTTACCACGTCCCAGTATCCATGCCGAGACGCCCAGGTATCCATGCCCAATTTGAAACCAAACACCACGCACGCTAAGACTACCATTACAGTATGACATAAAACATAACAACAAGAGCTGGTAACGCGATACAAACAGCCGGAACACAGTGGGAATCAACATCAACATGCAATATGCAACGGGATGAATCCCCATAACAATATGCCAGAAGGAATATATACAAGGAATGGCGGTATGTGCTTAGCACTCACGCAGTCTGGGGTTGCACCGTAGACTCCACTTTGACGTGGTCCTCAGAAGTGATGGTCTTTGTGGGTGCCAGGTCTGTGTCGGACTTCGCCCATGGGGACACATCAGACTCGTGAACGTATGTAGGAGTGCTTGCATCGGATGATGCCTCGTGGGTTTTCTCCGTCTCGGTCTCCTTGGCTTCATTAGCCTCTGTTTCGGACGCCACGTCCGAATCGTGCAGACTGGATACCGAGTGGAACTCTTCACGGTCTGGTGACGGCTTGTTGGATGACTCGGGAGCACCGGTAGAGGACAGGTCACTCTCCGAATCGCTCTTGTGGTACAGAGGCATCTCTGTGAAGCCGTACGTGGCGTGTCCCGGACTAGACGCCACGGAACGCCGGCGGCTGTGTGCGTAGGGGTTTACCGTAGGCGAGCTAGGAGTCGAAGTCGAAACAGGAGCGGGCGTCCGCTGGGGGTTTCGGGGTGGGAGGGCCGGGGGCATCCGCTTGGAGATCGTCACAAGGCGTGCCCGTGTGAATGTGGGCGAGTGACGCTTAAACTCCACAGGAGCGATGGAATCTTCGACGGGGACAGGCGAATGGGCAGCACTCTCGCGCTTCGATACAGTGGCGCTGCTGACTTCGTGAATTTCCACATCGTCATCCAGATCCACGTCCTCGACATCATCCCGGCCGTGATATTCGTCGTGTTCTGGGATGACAGTCTCCCAGCGTCCCTCCTCGTTGTCCCAAGGACTGGTCTCAGCCCGGTCGGACACGTCACGGTAGCTCCGGGAGGAGGCACGGCTGATAGAAGTTGGAGCAGTCGTAGGACCATCATCAGTTTGGGTCCCTCGGTCCATACTGGCGTAGCTCTGTACACTTGCTCGCCAGCTATTGCGTGGTGAGCTGTCGACGCTCCGTCGAAAAGTTGCAAATACCGGGCTGTTCGGGCCGGGTTTGAACTCGAACGCTTCCTGCGACGGTCTGGATTTCGTCCCAGCTTCGCGAATGAAAAGACCCTCCGCCTCTAGCGCCTTGACACCGAAGGGATCGGGGTCCTCGGGGTCGGGAATGCCAAACGAGCCCGGTCCAGGCACAATCTCAACATCCCCCGGGGTTTCGCCGGGTGGCAGCAAGTTCTCATCCACAGTCGGGTTGCCCTCGGCCGCTTTGACGGTGTTCAGCAGCGTTTGAATCGATGCAGGAGGCCGTTTGGCCTTGCCCGCGAGGATGTCAGTAACCGATATGCGCTCGCCATAGAAGCGCTCGTTCTCATCGGTACGCTCGATAATGATGGTACCATCCACAGCGACGCCCGCATACAAACCGCGACTCTTCATGTAGGTCCAGATGGGGGCCTGCCGCTTATGCACTTCCGAATCAAGCACGCCGCCCATCCCAACCGGACCGGCTGCAGCGCTG